CACTCTAATCATAAATTGGCACGATTAGGTGGGTCATAACTAGAGAAGGTCAGACGATGTTGGAGCTTCTTCCTGGACTGTTTCTCTGCCAATGGCAGCTCTAACTTTTTACAGAGAAACAACCTAGGGCTTCATCTGATTCTGCGCAGAAAAAATGTGAAAAAATGAACAAAATAAAAAATTATCATTACTAAAGTAGTGGGTGATGGTTGTGTGGATTGCGCATCACTTCGTGTTCCGCAAATGCGACTGACACGCAATAACCCGAGCGAAATCCTGAAGAGCGATCGATGACCGGAATTAATTGTTGTGTGCCATGCATTAAATCAGATGTGAGTCAGCGTGCATGCACACACATACACTTGCCAATCCTGAATTCCTTCTCTCGTTAGTCACCTATAAAGTTATTCAATGGTCTTCGCGGATCAAGCCGTTCAAAATGAAAATGATGAGAGACAATGAATCATTTGAACTACGAACGCAGAATTTTGATGACCGAATCTTCTTTCCCAACCCCGAAAAATGCAATTTTCAATCGTACCTAATTCATCCAAATTCTTCATCCCTTGCTCAGTCTCGTCGGTGATGGTTCGTTTAATTCGAAATTTAGCGTTGCGTATTTTACTCTGAATTTCGGAACTATATTGTGATCTCTCGGAATCGTCGGAATTTCCAAAATATCAAACTGTTTCTAGAATTTGGCCGGAATTCCAGGGTTTTTCGTCTGTTCGATCGATTATTTGATAAAATTTGATTATTTTTTTCATAGAATTTGACGATCTTGGAAACTAAATTCCGGACGTATTTCGGGATTTTTCCTCGGGACTTTTGACAATATCGGAATCATCCTCGGAACTTTCAGAAATGGGTATTAATTCCGGGACCCCTGGAGTCATTGGCAAAATAACATGGCAGTACTGAAGTTTAGTAGGCAAACCTCTAACCTGCCACATACTAAATCAGAACGCCGTATAAACCTTCAAGCATTGCCACATTTCCTCTGATCAAACTCAAATTTCCCAGTGAATTTATGAATATTTTCCTTCCAATTTTTCAAATAATTTTTTTTCGAAATTTTACCCGTAGACTTCCTGAAAATTTCAAGGAAAAACATTCATAATATTCTTCAAGAATGATAATTTTATCGGAGGAAATTCGGCAACTCGCGATTGTTCATACGGCGTTTTTTCTAAGCACGGCAGAGTTGTCTTAAACTCTCATACATGACGTCACTTAGGACGGTCCATGAAACCGTTTTTTTCCGCCGTCGGTTGCCAAAATGGACCGAGAGTTCTCCGGATCTATCGTTCTTTGATCTCTGCCTCGACAGATACGGTTTCGATTTCCCGCTAACGGTCTAATGGAATAGCATGTAGCACATTACACTGCCCATTCCTATCCGGGCGGGCGCACCTGGCTTCCGGAGGCAGCGCGGCGGGTGCGGACGTTACGGATCGGGAGGGGGGGGGGCTGGAGCACGTGCGCGCGTGGCAACCGGTAAATCAACACAAGCCCATTACGCACCTATCAATAATAATAAAGCATCGCACTACCCGGCGCGATGTCGCCCGCCGCCGCACCGAGCGCCACCGTCGTGATAACAGATTCATCCCCGCCGGGGGTGGAGGGCACGCCGGGATGACGTCCAGTCAAATAGGGGGAGAGATCAAGAAGCCACGAGTAAGCGAGAACGCCGTGCGAGCTTTCGGGAGCTGCCGGATTTCTCCTGTCAAAATATTTATTTTTGGGGAACATATTGAATATTTCTCTTTGAAATTAACAAGTATGTACACTGAAAAAAAAAAAAAAAACACATTGGATCTAGAGCCCAGACTCTTGAAAACATTGATAAGAAAAAGGACTCTTGATTCAATCAGATTTAAGCTTAAATCAAAAGGAAATCTGCTCGAATAATGAGGCTTGGTTCTTGATTAAAAAGCTTAAATCCGATTGAATCAAGAGTATTTTTTCTTGTCGATGTTTTTAAGAGTCTGGACTCTAGGTCCAATGTGCTTTTAGTTCCAGTGTGAATGCAATTTTGGAAAAAATCCAGGGAATATATACATTACTTTTTGAGAAAAAACAAGAAGAAACCGCTGAAAAAAAAATGATATGAACTGTACGAAACAAGGTTGGAAAAATACTGCTGGGTCCTCGCTATTTTTCGGGGAAGAGCAGGCCAAAAAGTTCCAAAATTTCGATTAGAGCCAACATTTTGAGCTCTAATGAGCACCAGTATCAGACTGAGGGGAGGAGGGGGAGGGGGAAGTGTCTAGCTCGGACGGATATACTGGAATGATAAGCTGAGGTCACACCGAGAGATCTATGACGTTTTGGGTCTTTTTATAGATTTCATCAGTGGACCACAGTTGTCAGCGAGCCCAGCTTAGCATCCTGCAAAATCCGAGACGTGGTAGAGGAGGCTTCAATTCGAGGAAAGCCAGGTCCCCCTGGATCCCCGTTCGTAATTTCAGTTCCAAAAGTCCAGGTAGTTCCAGTGTCTACCCCGTTTTTATTTCTCCTGACGTTTTACCAACGTCATTGACGTGGAGATCTCTGAAGGATCTTGTAAGCGCCCACTCTCGGTGGAGCTTTAGCAGCTCGCATCAGCCCCATTCACACTTTGTCTAGTGGCCCCTCATTGAGATCACGAACAGTAATACGTGATCATGTGGTGACTCGTGCAAGATTATGCGGCATCCGTGATTTGTATCACTCCTTGTCTGCGCCGCCGAACTGAGGAAAAAACGCTCTTTTACCATTCCGACATTGTCAAATGGACGCATTTCTGCCAAACGGAACTATGCGCATTATGACGTGGGCCTTGTTATGCGTATATTCTCATGGGTCTCAGGGATCATGTCTTTAATGAACATAGTTCCGTTTGGCAGAAACACGACCCAATTTCTTTCCATAAGATAATTATATCCTTGAAAATGTCGACATTTTCGGGGAATTTGATCAAAAACATTTGAAGATTTCACGAAACAGTATTCTTAACTTCTCATAGAACTTGAGTATTTTATATGAGAAGATTTTACATATACTAAGTTTAAATGCTCACATGCCATTTTTCCTTGATAAGTCATTTCAGAAAGAACACCGCGTGGGCGTTCAAGCCGTCGTTTCCGAGACAGAAAAACGTAACTTCGTTTCAACGTTGCAAAATTTCCAGTATCCTTACACTTCTCCAGAAAAGCCGAGGAAAAAATCTTCAAACGCTGCCAAATTCCCTTCAATGAAAAACGAATTTTCAGAAACATTTGACAATCTATTTCTATCAAGTTTTTTTTTTTTTTTTTACAACTTCAGTTAAACTTAACTGTTCAAAAACGTAAATGAAAAGGACTCATGCGTGACTTTTCTCAAAAGTAAAATTTTAACGTAAGCAATTTGGCAGCGCTCGAATGTTGATACGGCGTTTTAACTCAGGACGGTAGAGTACGGGTCCCTCGTTGAGATCATGTCTGGAGGCAAACAGAGGCTCGTCGAACTCAACGCAAGGACGATAAGCCGTATCTCCACTTTGACGTGAACCCTGGCGCCCGTCCAACGCCACCTTTTCTAGGGTTCAACTTAGATGCGCCCTTCCGCGAACGCGGCTGCGATGAGATGAAGACGGGGCCCGGCGCGGCGCACACTGGATCGAGTCAATGAGGAGGATCGGACATAAATTTGTTGACTAAAACTGCAATTCTTTATGTTAATTTCGTCACATTTTAAATTTTAAGGGGTGTTTCTGTCAGGAAATTTCACGAGAAAACCAATGGAACCACTTTTAAAACCTCAAAGTTTTGTATGAACGGAGTAATGAGCTTTTAAAGTTCCCAAATTTTGTCCGACCTCCTCTATTGACTCGGCCTATTGTGCGGCGCGGGAGATTAACCGAGGTTTCGTAATCGTAGCGCAGCTTCAGCGACGGATATTGGATCGATGTCGTCATCATCATGGAGCACTCGAGAAATTGTTGGAGATTTTTCACACCGTTCGCACGGATAACAGGCCGCCGTCATATCCACTTCAAACTGTTTTACATTAAAAACAGAGAAAAATCAACGATTCGGGGCCGGCGGGCATGATCAGTAGAATTTATAGACAAAGCAATAGACAAAGTCGACAAAGAGAAAATGGAGCTATCTTATTGGCGGAAGCGGGTTGTTGCAATGAACAAAGGATGTAATTAATAGACCAACAAACAGTAGCCTGAGACCATATGGACCGAGTTAATCAAAAAGTATCCAACCCACATTTGCGAAAAATTGAGTTAAGAATTTTTTTTAGTATCACTACCGTATATTTTCTCCTGCTAAAAACTGAGAGTCTAAAAACAAACAAAAAATTGTGAAAAGATGGGTTTAAGTTTATTTTTTACATTGAGTCTTATGCAGGAATAAAACTTCAAACCTCTTTTTCTGCGGTTTCAACTTAACGTGGGTTGGTTCCTTTCCGGTGAACTCGGTACGATAGTTAGTCCATCACTTTCCTCCTTCGTCTATAAAATCCACCATTTTTAATCGATAAGATCGCTCCACTTTCCCTTTGACTTCCTTGTCGATCGCTTTGTCTATCAATTTCAATAATCAGCATGCAGTAGCGAATCCGCACTATGAATGCACAGCGAAGATAATACGACTCATTCGTGAACTGACAACAGCGATCGAATTGATTAAAGTGTAAGACGGCTCAAGTTGTCTGCTGAAGAAATGACTTGAGTAATATTATAATGTGAGAAAAAAGTTTCCCAACGTGCGTTTGTAGGGAGAACTGAAAAGAGTTGAGAATAGCTAGAGTTGCCCATGAAGCTGGAAAGAGACAAGAATCGAGTCCAGATAAACACATTCACGAGATGAGCCAATGGAGACCAGTAAACGCATGGGAACAAATCATTTACTGAGGATGTCTCTCGTGGAATGAACAAAGAGTGCAATCATTTTCGGTCTAACAGGATGCCAAGTTTAGGGTTAGAATACTCAAATTTGTTACTATAAAAGTAAACCTACGGCAGTGGCGAAGCTGCTCGGAGCCAGGGGATGGTTGTGGTTGTAGCACCATGATTTTAATGCTTAAGAGTACAGGCGAGACCTGGAACAAAAGATAAAGACGATTTCTTAAATACATGGTTCATGAAATACACGCAAGATGAAAACTTAAAGAAGCTCCAAACGGTTCATTTAAAATGAGAACCTGGTGAAAATACCAGAAATTCCTGGAAATTTTTCAGTTGTCTTAAAGTATTGACCAAGAGCAAAAGCGGCGAGACACAGCTATCAACGGGTAAAAGTTCCCATAATATTACTATAATAATAATGGAAGACTTTCCGTCACGGAACAAGGCACAATTATCGGTAGCAGTTGCTAAAATCGCTGATAACGGTCAGAAAAATTATCATTGAAAATTTTAATTTCGAGTGAAATTTGGTAAAATTACTGGTACAAGTTGCGAAATAGCCGACAAGATTTAGTAAATTACACAAAGCACAATATTATTACTAGTTTGTGGCCACATATAACCGTTAGAAAGACTGGTAATTCAAACAAGAGTTTGTGGGTAATTTTTTTCCCTTCCCCTATCTTACAGACAATCGTTAGAACAACGCGAAAAATTTTCCTCTCAACGAAACCTGAGCCATCACTCGATATGAGAGAATACAAGCCTTAATTGCACCGCTGCAAAGAATTTCTGGGAACCATAAAAAGTTCCGTGAAATTCAGAGGCGAATCAAACATGTTGGCAACATTGGTTTTCCTCCTTTTAAATATACGTCAAATAATCGATTCTTGTTCGAACACTTGGTCGTTGCGAATCGATACATTCCCATAGATATAAATAGAGATGAAACAATTTTGCCAATTCGTTTGACCCGCCAATGATGAATTTCGCACCATCGCAGATAAAGGTGAGTCTTTTCCCGAATGGCTCCAATTTTTCCCCGTGGGTTCATGTCAGGCTGCATCTTGAGACAAAGTCGGTCAGAGTCACTTTTACTTGGGAACTGGAGTCTCCTCATAAAAGACGACGGTGAAACTGAACCGCGAAAGAGCCCAAATCAACGGAGACCCAACGTAGACATACGCGGTTTCTGTGGAGCGCGATGCAGGTCGATCTGGACAGCGCCGCAGGGCTCGCGGCTGGGGTGGCAGAGGTGCAGCACCGCTAGACTGCCATCCTAGACTAAGAACCCGAATAGACCCGAAGAAGGCCAGTTGCACTTGCGCGGTTCTTGCCGGGGCGGTTTGCGGGCAAAACAATCGGTCGGAGTTTTGTAACACGAGATCCGTGTTTGTGGAATTGGGCCGAGACAGTCAACAAACAATTCCGCGAAGCCACATTGTCGAAGCGTCGGCCGTGACGAATCGCGGATTTTCGTCTCCGCGTTCCCGCGGATCCCGGGTCCAGGATCCGTGAAAATCGGCTCTGCGAAAAAGGCCCGGGAGCAAGGCTCCTGTGCCGCGCAAAAACCCTGGATTGGCGCTGACTATTCGTTGCAGATGCGTGGTTCTTGCCCGGTGCGACGGGAGCAGCAGTAGTGGCCCACGACCCTTCCCTCGGCACGACTGTTACGGTAGATTACTCGACGTCAATTGAGTTGTTTGGAAATTTCATCCCCTTTTCTCTTTTAACTGACTTGAATGAGCCTTTGGTCTCTTTGAAGATTACTCAAGCCGACATGTGCGCCGTATTGTTCGTCCTGGCTAACTGCTAGCCCGAAGGAAGTCAAATCTTTGCGCTGTTTCGAGACGTTTTCGGGATTAATTGGCTCCCCGGTATTTTCCGTTAACATGCGAGTTGTAGTACTGTATATTTTACGATATCACAAATGTACAGTCAAAAATATGACCAACTTTCTTGGTATTTTATGTTTACCCATAGCTCTCAGATGTTCTAACGTATTCTCGATCGGTTGATAGACCTCTTACATGCCGACAGGCAACTTACCAGATTCTTTGAGGGAAGTGAGCAAAATTAGCAAAATAATTAAATTACCGCGAAAAGTCTTTCAAATTATTGCGAATTCTCAATAGGGAACAACTGAACACCATCAGAATGAGCGCTAAACATTATAAGAAGAGCGTGGTATTAGTCCGCTAATGATATGCCCGATATCAATGAACAAACGAACATGACAAGACTACTGCATGCAACTATTACTGCTCCTAAGCCGCTCAAATTGCCTTATGAGATATTGAAGGCGAACTTGTCCGAGCAAGTGAGAGACAATGGGAGTAAAGTATTAAATCGTTACCGCTACTTATAAACCGAGTGAACCCGGCCGAAATGCGGCGAGCAACTATTACTGCTCCTAAGCCGCTCACGTTGCCTACCGAGATATTGAAGGCGAACGGGTAGAAACAAGTTGGAAAACATTTGAGTGAGGTATTCAGCCTGTACAACCATGAGTAACGCGGCTAAGGTGCAACGAGCAACTATTACTGCTCCTAAGCCGCTCACTTTGCCTATCGAAATTTTGAAGGCGAACTCGATTGAACGAGTGAGAAATGACGTGAACGGAGTGTTAAACCATCAATGCCTACCCGTTCCAACGGACAGGATCGCTCTAACTTCATATGACTTCTTTGTCTATCACTTTGTCTATCAATTTCAATAAGCAATCCGCTACACAGCGTCCACGTGAAAAACGGCACGATCTCAGGAGGTATTATTTTATTTCCGCCGTTCGGTTATTTTTCCCTTTCCGCGTCGGCCGGCACTGAATATACTCAGGGCCGAATCGTATGCTGCCGGGCTAAGGAAAAACGTCATACAAATATTCCAGAATTGCCAAATTTCCTTCGATAAAATGTCTATTTTTTAGTAAAGCCATGGGTATTTTTCCTCGACATTTTCAGGAACTTCAGGTGAAATTGCGAACAAAATCATCTGAAAAATTGGAAGACGAATACTCACAAATTTTTCCGAAAATTCGTGATTTACCATAGGCAATTTGGCAACGCCGGAGGGTTCATACGGCGATTTTCCTCAGCACGGGAGTATGGGATAAAGTCATAAAAATCGCGAACGGCGAGAATGCACGGCAAGAGCGGTTGAGATTCCGACGGCCGAGCATCCGCCGCTGAGCTGGAGCGAGATTCATGATTAATGATGGTTACCACGGCGATGTTCCCACTCCTGGGAGTCGGGGGGCGCGAGGGGGGTGGGAGGGGGGTTGCGTGCGAGGAGGACGCGCTCGACTAGACAGCGAACTGGGCTCGGCCGTGGCGGCTGGGCCGCTGGGGCACGCGGTGGCCGCTACGTCTCCATTGGCCGGTGCCGGAGCTCGGTGCACGAGGTGAACTCCTTCATCTTCCAGCCCGCGCGCGCACGCGCGCCCTCACGCACAAGCGCCGCCGCGCCGGCCGGGTCGCGAATCCAACTCCACCGCCCGGTTGCCGTCTGGGGCCCCTCACTCATTGAAGGAGTATATGGAAGAAAATAGAGCTTTTGCATGTGTCAGGAATTTGCGATTTGAGTACTGCCTCCTGAGGAAAATGTCGCAAGAAACACGATGATGCTATTAGTTATTTCTGAAATCAACTCCAAAGCTCAAAAAAAGCTCTCAAAGTTGAGGCCTTAATAGAGGGGATATCTCACGAGTAGGCATGAGTAGCGGGTTCCCTCTATGGTGTAAGTGTAAATCCAAGGAGTGAGAAACCTCTAGCATGAACTGGACTACATTTTGCAATTTGGAACTATAAATTCTAGCCCGGTTTAAAAACAACGTATGTGCCATTAGTTTCCCTATGCAAATAAGTGTTTTTTTCAGGTGAATTAGAATTGATAGTTCCAAATTGCAAAATGCAGTCCAAATCATGGGAGTTCAGATCAGTCTACGGGGTTTGTGTGCTTGAATCCGTTGCACTGATTCCGGCACAGCTTAAAATGGACTAGTATACAAGGTACACAAAAAGCAGCCTGAAATATGTTGCTTATCAAAAATTTCACGCAGAACACAATTTGTGAAACGAAAATAACTATAATTAACTCCGAACCACGCGATTTAACGTTTTCAATGCGTAAATTTAAACCTCTCGCTCGTTAAAAAACAAAAGTCTACTTGACTTGAAGTATGGCAACCTCTATTTCGGTGCTTCGGCTCAGCTGTTGCCCATTGTTGACACTCTGAACAAAACAAGGCAGAGAAGGGAAATTGCTCAATTCAGAGGCCTGCCAAACTCGTTTCAGTCGCGATTTGATTCAAAGTAGACTCTTGTTTATCTTATGAGCGGGGAACTCAATTTACCCATAACCAGTGTGAAATAAAAACGTTCATATCTTAGGAAGGAGTGGATTTCAGTGATTGACGTTGCGCGATTCGTGTTCTACGTGAAATTTTGGTTGAGAATCATGTATCAGAATGGTTAAATTCGTAGCTCGTCTATTGGTCCATTCACTGGGAACGAAAAAGCCTTGGAGACTCAAACGCAAGGGTAGGAAAAATAACCGTGTTCCTTACTGAAGCAGAGGGTGGCTGTAGCGTGTATCATCATTAGATAGTCATTAAATATAGTATGAAATATCTTTCGATTTGCTGTTTATACATTCAATACAAGGTTAAATGTGGCAAATTCGCAAATGACAAGTTTATTTGCGCAAGCGCGGAGTAAGACTGTCTTCGGATATGAATTTTGAGCACCGTGAGCGCCGTCGACTGAACAAGTCGAGATGTACAAAGCAAGACGGAGGCGGGGGAGGAGAGCAACAAAACAAAAGCTCTCACGGTCTCCGATGGGATAATCTCCGTTGATATGTCAAGAGTAAATTGTAAATTGTCCCAGATGTATGCAAATAAATATGTACGCAACCGCAACCACGCTATGCGCCATGCCAGTCGACGTCTTCTCGCGTATTTCGCGATCCTCCTCGCTGCGCCTGACGTCGACACGGCCTCAGGTGACGTCATACCGACGCCCCCGCCCACACAAACGCTATTATCCTTACGTCACGGTAAATATCGACAATTCAATACCTATTACTGGGAATGACCGCATGAATGGGGGCAAATGTAGGCCCACCGAACTTTAGAACTCTTGGGTCAACTTTTCGATTGCACGGACCGAACTTCCGTCAAGGTAACCAAAGTTTC